ACAAGGAATAATTCTGACAATTTTCAACAACGTGGGCTTCACCGTTCTCTTGATAATATTTTAATACTGCTAGATGAAGGAAATCAACCACTGTGCGCCGTTAATTTCAATATTCTACCTCATACCTCAATCCTCATCTCCCATTCCCTCTCACACCTAAATTATTAGCATTACTATTTTTCTGTGTACCCCAATGAAATTGTTAATAAAATATACAAAATTATTAGTGACGTTCCAGATATAATATATTTTTGTAGCTACCTTTGTACCATCATCATATTTATTACAATATATTGGCATAAACAAAATTGATGTTAAGATACCAGCACTCTTTGTGTTGTTCCTTAATAAACGTAGCTTTCTGTAAATTCCCCAAATAACTTCACGTTTTTTGCCTACTTCTTCGTCCTTTTCTCTTCCCTCTCCCTCACAAATTTTATAATTTTTACTTTATGACCCCTTCCCCTGTACGTCTTTTCTTTTCTCTTTCACTACTAAGTACAACTTACTCAGTACTATTAATGTTCGGCCCTAAGCCGCCATCCTGATTAAGGTTTTCTGAGTTTACTCAATTGCTTAAGGCATAAGCCGGGATGGTCCCTAGATTTGTTCTCCCAGACGTAAATGTACAGCTTGTCCTCCCTTCTTTAAATGTTACTACTCTAAATGTATGTAAATTCAGTAGTTAGGCGGAAGAGAAGGCCCTATAGCCAGAGCCTCGCCATTAATAAAGACATTATTATTATTATTATTATTATTATTATTATTATTATTATTATTATTATTATTATTATTGCGGGCCGGGGCGTGTCTCGGAAGGGGGATCGTGAAGGGGATGATGTGTAGGACAGTCTCGGGGCAGCTGGCAATGAGACCAAAATCCAGAAATGCAATGACGCAGCCAGCGTGGGTGGTATGTCACGTGATGCTTCACGCGGGAGACTGGAGAGAATACGGCCGGGGCATTCGAATTTGAACCGAATCGCGGTGCGGAGGCACTTGTCACCCGCCAGGGGTTATCGCTTTCTTCGGCTGCGAGTTGTGGCTGTTCGCCACGCGGCGAGAGGCCAGGAGCGGCGGTAAAGTTAGCCGATGGGGTCTGTGTCAGGCTGGGGAGGGGATGCCTCAGATGTGCAGTGCTGTGCAGTGCTGGGAGAACAGCGCTAGTTCCTCAGTAGTGTAATAATTGTATAGAAAAAAATGTAAATAAATCTGTACATAACTCCGTTTCTGTGTTTCACTCGCACCTCGAAGCCACAGTGGAATAATATAAATCATGGCAGTAAGTAAGAATCTATTAATAATACTACAGGCTCCCTGATACATTAGTCATGAATTCTCTCCCTTCCTAACATTTTTACAAGCAACAAGATTAAGATGGCAAACCAACATCTAAAAGGTAATTTTAGAGAGACCTATTACTTTACTCAACATCTCAAACTGAACATAATCTCGTTAATCAGCTGGTTACATGAAACTTGGTTCCATGTTCATGAAAGTGTTAATTTCATTTACAGCTTCGCACCACCCACTTCACCCTACCAACTCCATTTCATGATTATATCCCATTGGCTATATGTCCCCCTCTCACCTTTTACAACTTCCTCCTGTAGGCCAAATGCCCATCCTACGTACCACATTTATTGCCACTTCCATATAGCGCCTAGAGCAACTACACTTAATAGAAATGCCCACAAAAAATAAAAACAAATATTGTATAGTAACATGTACAGTTAAAAAAAACAAGCTTACAGATTTCAAAACCATACTTCAACAAAACTTTGAATACCAATCTACATACACAACAAAGTATAACTAGATGATTTGGTTATAATGAACTCGCACACACATAGTAATAACTTCAAAAAAACATGTTTTGCCTCAGTACCATCAATTCATATTGTTAGAACTCATGAACATAATTTTTAATCTTCATTTCTTTGCCAATTCCTTACTCAAAACTTTATATGCATTTAATAAAACGTAAGAAAGTAGTAATTAAAAAACTTACATCATATTTCAAATGTGAAAACTCCCTTGGCGGACCAGGTTGTCTCCAACCATTTGAACCCAAGCATAGGGGAACAAATAATGATGCATGTTCACCTAGCTTTGGAAACAGCAGAGACAAATTGATTGTACGTAAGCAGTCTGCAATAGGAGTTGCTGCTGGTGAAGATGGTATGCAGGGAAATACAAGCACACACTTATTTGCATATTCATCTTCCAAATACTGAATTATTCCAGCTCCAACACCTGAAAATCCATCAGTGGCATCCATGAGCAGATGGAATCCCTAATAAACAGAGATCAACATGTCACAGAAAACCACATCTTTCAAAAATATACAAGCTGAATCACTATGCACAACCAGATTTTTATTATTAGACCCTGAAAAATTGACAAACTAGATTTCTCCAACCTTCAAAGTTTTACTAGGATCTACTTTAAGCAACAAAAAACATGAATAGTTCTAATCTGACTGTGCAACAATATGCATACAAATTCCAAACCTGAAAGTTATCACATTCTTCAATAAATCTTCTAATTCGATCAACAAAATCATCTTGAAACTCTTGATTTTTCCACAAGTTCACTCCATAATTGTATATATCGAAAGGTTTAATGCTTGAATTATGCTCATATTCATTGACTATGTTTGCTGTATTAGGATGATATCGAGTAACAAGAAAATCAGACCATTTTTGTACACTAGTATTCAAATCTTCAAATTTCTGCAAAGCCACACCTAAGCAAAAAAAGAAATAAAATTGATCACTGCATTAAAAAGTACTATAAACAATTTTACTAGAAAATGAACAAAAGTGCATACATTGCTCATTACATGCATCTCCTGCACTGTCAGTTTGCGAATCTAGATGCCTCAGAAATTCATTTTTTTCAGCAGGAGGATCTTTGATAAGTTCAACTTTATCATGGGGCCAAAGAGCATTATCTTGCTCAGGTTCAGAAGGTTTCTCATACAACTCCCCTCTTAATGGCAAATGGCTTAAGCTACCCTTCAGATCCAGAAGAATAAGACGTGGGGTGTAGGTAACATGGCCCTGCAAATAAATTAAGTATGAAGCACACAACCATTACATACACTTAATACTGTAAAGATACTCACCAAATTTGTTAATCCTTCGCGATAAAGTACATCGTGATTAATTTCTGAAGGGTTTTCTCCGGTGTACTCAAATCCCGACTCCTGGAATGGGTACAAATACTAATATCACCCGTAACCTCAAAAGGTATGCCAACCAAATTGTCATAGTCAACACACACCTGAATATTCCACCAGTGTGCACCAATAAAATTGGAAAAACTACCTAATTGCAAAGTGACTATTTCTCTTGAAGAAGCCATCGCACAATCAATGTTACAAACTTCCTAACCAATACACATCCATTACAGATTATTAACAATTATCACCACTACAAGACACTTATTCTTTGATTGAGATGCCGCTTATTTTCTTCTTGTACAATAAGTCGATGACTATCAAACATCGAATTCGTATATCGACAGAAGCGGCGCACCACAACTGTTACAGCAATCAACAACACTATCGATCTTCTACGCATGCGCAATTCGAGTTTCGCATCACTATTATCAGTGTATTAGAATATCATGGATAAAATACATCTGTTATACATGACATGAATACACGTGTATGGTATTATAGTATGGTGCAAAGATTTCTTCAGTTTGTTCAGGTTTTTTCTCAGGGGGAACGGATAATAGTAGGGAGATATCTGGTGCACATTTGTGAATCGTACCCATATAGAATCCTACGCGTAAGGAAATGAGTGCGGGGTCAGCTGGCAAAACTTTTTTCCGAGCCCACTTTAAAGTATAGCGTAATATAATTATATGTGTATAGCAAACACAAGTTAGTATCTTAAATAATAAAATGTCCCTAAGTAAAATTATCTGTTTTCAATAGGATTTTGAGAGAATTGTAATTTAATTTGGAAATTAAAAAAAATAAATTAATAAAACTTTGAATGAGTGAATTTCCCAATCTCGCATATTTAAAAGCCAGTAAATTTTGTATATTGATAATGTTTTGAATGTAAATATTTCAAAAAATATATTAATGTCACTTTATGCCCTCGTAGGTCAGTAGCGAATTTGCTTGCCTTTCATCGCTGAGGTTCCGGGTTCAATTCCCGTAGAACCTCATGAAAAATTTGGAAATTTGTTACGACAAACGAGTTTGCATGCTTCACAGGGACTACTCCAACCCCTACGAAGTATCTTAAACCCTACCTCATACCTAATGATTTCCCAATGGTGGCCGCTGAGAAGTGACGCAGGGGCGCGTAGTAGGAAGCACATACGCGGAGATGCTATTTGGCGGTCCTCTTCCAAACTGACTGCGACGAGACGTGACGGAAATGTTGAAATATCAATGGAGGATTATTCCTGACTCCCGCGCCGATGTTAATGGAGGATTACTCCGGAAGCGCAAAGGGCTCAACGCCCCGCGGGGCTTGTAGACGCGTTGCGCTTAAGACGCAACAAAGTAAAAAATTCCCCTAAAAATGTGTGCTATTTTACCTGGGGCCGCCCGGGTTACGGCATTGCCAAGGTTCCCAAATGGAGCCTTCTCATTGGTTAGAATCTTAGAATGCTGTTCCATATAGTTGGCATGGTAAACACAGCTCTCTCCTCTCTCTATGTGTGTGTGTGTG